AGAGTGCTCCTTGGAGGCCAGGATGGCTAAGCTTCGTCTCTCAGACTTTGGACATATTGTAAGGAGGGAACAGTCGCTGGAGAAGGATATCATGCTAGGTAAGATGGAGGGTCAGAGAAAAAGAGGAAGACCCCCAATGAGATGGATCAGCCAGGTGGCCTCATTGATGGTGTCAAGTGTGGCAGCGGTGGTGGAGTTGGCCCACAATTGGACATTGATTCATTCTGCTGTGCATGGTGTCGCTATTGTAATGCCCAGATTTCAGGGTCCCCAAAGACCACCAAGGAGCCGATGCAGATACACAAGGGTTGTTTATTCAAGCTCGAGCTCGGGCCCCATCTGCATCCAACGCAGCGGACTAGGGATGGAGGTCCCGTGCTCCTAGTCAGCGGGGTTTTTATAGAGGTTACAAGCAAGCTCGAGGGTTTTCAGATTAGCTACTCCAGGATTGGTTTACATTTTGCAAGGTATGGGTGTTACGATCTGATTGCTCATTATTGGCAGCCTGAGCTGCTGGGTTAGGAAAAGAGAAAAAATATATCATCTGGCCTTGAGTTTTTTTGCTGTTTATCTACTTTTTGCTGTTGCTAGGGGTGAGGGGCTATTCTTAAGCAACACGAGCTGATTTGGCACATTCCTGGAACGGAGGACATGCTCCGGCTAAAGTACAAAATGGAATCTTTTCTCTTTGGTCTCACAGCTATGAGTCGGTTCTGTTTCGATGACAACTGACAACAACAACGGCAACATACTATGTTTCTAATTATCTTGAAAGGGGTATATCAAAGGAAAAAAATCATTTATTTGCATAGATTAAAATAGATTTAGAGCTAGTGAATAGAAGTAAATAGAATTAGAATGAGTGAAAGAGAGGTATATTTGCTAAGTAAAAGTGTCTAAAAAGTTATGTTGTTGTTGTTAAGTGCCATTGAGTTAGTTTCAACTCATAGCCACCTTGAGTGTTAAACAGACCTTGTGATCCAGTTCTTATCCTACAATGCCACACCAGGACTCCATACATTTAAAATAGAAATATTGATCTAACTGTGACAGAAAGAATCACTGGTATTGAAAGACTCAATTATAAAATACAGGTGATATTGCAAAGCTGATAAGTAGCTGATTTGTTGCTTGGCCTTTTATTGAATATGAATTTCACTTTTTTGGTTCAGTGCACACACTAACTACATGGAAGCAGAAAATAAAACAACAGTTTCAGAATTCCTTCTGCTGGGCCTCTCAGAGGATCCTGAACTTCAGCCCTTCTTCTTTGGACTGTTCCTGTCCATGTACCTGGTCACTGTGTTTGGGAACTTGCTCATCATTCTAGCTGTCAGCTCTGATTCCTACCTCCACACACCAATGTATTTCTTCCTTTCCAACCTGTCCTTTGTTGACATCTTTTTCATCACTACTACAGTCCCAAAGATGCTGATAAACATCCAGACACAGAACAAAGACATTTCCTACATAGGATGTCTCACTCAGGTGTATTTCTCCATGATGTTTGCTGGACTGGACCATTTTCTCTTGACCGTGATGGCCTATGACCGGTTTGTGGCCATCTGTCACCCCCTGCACTACACAGTTATCATGAACCCCCTGTTCTGTGGCTTATTGGTTCTGATGTCTTGGGTCATCATTTTCTGGTTCTCCCTACTTCATATTCTACTAATGATGAGATTGAATTTCTGTAGAGGCACTGAAATTCCACATTTCTTCTGTGAACTGACTCAGATGATCAAAGTGGCCTGCTCTGCTGTCCTCATCAATAACATCTCCTTGTATGTGGCAACTGCCCTGTTGTCTGTGGTTCCCATCACTGGTATTGTCTTCTCTTACACTCAGATCATCTGTTCCTTAATGAGAATGACCTCTACTGAGGGCAAGTATAAAGCATTTTCCACCTGTGGGTCTCACCTCTCTGTGGTCTCCTTGTTCTATGGAACAGGCCTTGGGGTCTACCTCAGTTCTGCTGTGACCCATTCTTCCTTGAAAAGCTCTATTGCCTCAGTGATGTACACTGTGGTCACACCCATGCTGAACCCCTTCATCTACAGCCTAAGGAACAAGGATGTGAAGGGAGCCCTTGGAAGACTCTTTAGTAAAGCAGACTCTTCTCCATGATGGTCACCAGTCTCATGGCTAAACAGATCTTGTAGTCTCCAAAGTCAAATTTCATGAATCTAAATTTCCTTAATCTTTCTTCTTCTACTAGATATGCACCATTTTTTCTATTTCCAAAGGATCTATGACCTGTTTGGTACTTGCTATTGGAGAATTGTTATTGTTAAGTGCCATCGAGTCATTTCCGACCCATACAGACCCTGTACAGGGTTTCCGAGGCTGTAAATCTTTAAGGAAGCAGAACGCCTCATCTTTCTCCCCTGGAACAGCTGGTAGTTTCGAACTGCTGGCCTTAAGGTTCGCAGCCCGATTCGTAACCACTACGCTACCAGACTCCTCTATTATTTCCTCAGTATTTCCTTTTGATTCTTCTTTCCTATATGCTGTCTTTAAAGTTCTTTCTCCTTTTTATTTCAACACACTATTTTAAACTTTTTATTGTGAATTTAGAAAAGGTTTTAGAGTGGATCATCATTTTACATTCAACATATCATTACATTACATTCAACACTTAGCTTTGTTACAACAATTATACTTTCCCTTATTTAACATCAGTTAACAGTATTTACCCCCATTCACTTTAACTGTTACATTCCTAACTGTGTCTCCTGCTACATTCGTCTCTCCTTTCCCAACCTCCTTCTTGATTTATATTGCCTGTCCTATCACAACCTTGCTTGCTGAAAGTGAAGAGGACTTGAAACATTTACTGATGAAGATCAAAGAGCACAGCCTTCGGTATGGGTTGCATCTCAATGTCAGGAAAGAAAAATCCTCACCACTGGACCAATAAACAATATTCTTATCAACAGAGAAATGATTGAAGTTGTCAAGGACTTCGTTCTTTTTG